CTGTAACTTTTCTAACACAAACAGCACTCTTGATCCCTTAGAATGGTTACAAAAGTGTTTCAGTCATTAAGACTTAGTTTCCTACCTACATTTTTGCAATGAAAGAGCCTACATAAGACACTGTTAAATTACACTCGGTGCTAGTTCAAAAAATGCCTTTTTCTGCTACCATCTGCCATGAGTGGCCATCATACCAGTGCATAAGTTGTACCATCCAGAATTCTGTGGCACTGTAGCAGACCAATTGCTTCCTACTAGGCTAAAGAAAATTATATGTATGCTGTCACGCAGGAACAATCCTCAACTAGCAAATGCAAAAAACTGCTGTAAGAGGCCTGCTTATTAGGGCTGTCAAGTGATTAAAAAATTGAATCGTGATTAATTGCGTGCGCTGCCCCTTCAAAACGCTGCAGTGGAGTCCCCAGCTGATCCCCGGCTCCATTTTGTGCTGGCCGTTTGAAACACAGCGGCAGCATTTCAAAGGGGCAGCGCTAGCAGAGCCTGGGGTCAGCTGAGGCCTCCAGCTGATCCCCAGCTCCACCTTGCGTTGCCCCTTTGACGTGCCGGAGTGGTGCTTCAAAGGGGCAGCGCAGCATTAACGCCTGTGATTAACGCATTAAAAAAATGAACATTAATCCTGCCCTGCATTAATTGCAGGTGTTAACGCACATCAATTGACAACCCCACTGCTTATGTTAAATTAGTAGACTTAACATACCATACAAGAAATGTCTGCATAATTTTACCAACAGGAAGGATTAAAATGCACTTGACTTAATCTGATTACATCACTTATATGAAGATATGCACCCTCAAAATATGTGAATACCAAGTGCAAGAATTAAAGTCACAAGTGTTTGAAGTGTATAGAAAACTCAGTCCTGTCCTTAGATGCTGTATTCAAAATCTGTTTTATTCACTCTTTTCAATGACAGTTACTCTGTGCAGTAATGGGGGTTCTTCGAGGTGTCCCCCCGTGGGTGCTCCCCTCTGGGTGCTGGTGCATCCTCACACCAGTGACTGGAGATTTTTCTAGCAGTGCCCTGCTGCGCCGTGTATGTGCTATAAAGCATCCTCATGCCATTGGTGTCCGTTAGGCACACGTGGCGCAGCACGGCCCCCTCTGCTTAAGTGGCCAGGGTAGAGAAGGAACAAAGAGGCTCCAAGCAGGGGAAGGAGGGAGGGTAGTGGAGCACCCGTGGGGGGACACATCTCGAAGAACCCCTGTTACTGCACAGGGTGAATAACTCTTTCTTCGAGTGATGTCCCCGTGGGTGCTCCACTCTGGGTGACTACGAAGCAGTAGTCGTATCATGGAAGCAGGTTTGGAGCCCTGCCACTGCAATTGATGATAGTACTGCTTGTCTGACCACCATGGATGGAGTGATAGCAGAGGTGAGAGCATAATGTTTTGCAGACGTGTGGTCGGAAGACCAAGTGGCTGCCTTGCAAATGTCCTCCAGTGGTACAGTCTGGAGGAAAGCTGTTGTGGAGGCAATGGCTCTGGTAGAATGAGCAGTGATGGTACCTGGCGGTTGCTTGTTGTGAATAGCGTAGCATGTGTGACTGCGAGATGAGATCCATTTGGATAGTCTCTGCAAAGAGACTGCTTGACCTTTGGAGCGTTCAGCAAATAAGTCTCGTTGATTTTTCTCCATGGTTTTGTTCGATCTAGGTAGAAAGCAAGTGCTCTTCAAATGTCCAAGGTGTGTAATGCTACTTGGGATGGGTCGGCGTGCGGCTTAGGGAAAAAACACAGTTAAGTATATCAGTTCATGAATAGGAAAGGGAGATGAAAGGGAGATGGGACCTTTGGTAGGAGAATGGGACCTTCAGTCTGTCATTAATGCCGCCAGCTTCCCGACTCTCCTGCTGGAAGTTATAGCTACCAAAAAGGCGACTTTCATGGAGAGATGCATCCAAGAGCAAGTTGCTAGAGGCTCAAAGGGTGGTTTAGTTAAACTTTTAAGGATGTGATTTAGATCCTAGATGGGGGCTGGAAGCTGCACCAATTGAAAGGTGTTCTGAAGGCTCATAAGAAAGCATATAGGGTATGTCTACACTACCACCCTAGTTCGAACTAGGGTGGTTAATGTAGGCAACCGGAGTTGCAAATGAAGCCCGGGATTTGAATTTCCTGGGCTTCATTTGCATATTGCCGGGCGCCGCCATTTTTAAATGTCCGCTAGTTCGGACTCCGTGCCCGCGGCTACACGCGGCACGAACTACGTAGTTCGTAAAAAAGGGCAGAGGCAGTGGGCGAATTGTAGTCGTGCAGCAGGTGGTGTAACAGTAGCAGGGATGTGTGTCTGGCTCCCAACCAAACCTTCAAAATTTGCTGTTTTGATGATGCGGGCTGGGACGTCAAAGGTTGCTGCTGGCTCTGAGGCCTACATCGTTGAGGCCTATGTTTGTCTGAAGTCGTACCTTGGCTGGGGCCGGTACTGCTCCCTCGGTCTCTGGTAGGTATTGTACCATATCCTTCTGTTTGGGGGGGTGTGTACACGCCCAGCGTCCTAAAAGCTGTGTGTGAATCCTTCATCACATGAAGGACCTCACCTGTTTTGGGGCCAAAAGGGTGGTTTTATCGAAGGGGAGGTCTTTGAGACTTTGTGTTGGAGGTCTCTGGGTACCCAAGATGCTTGGCGCCACAAGGCCCTGCGCATGACAATGATGGATGCTGTAACCCAGGCTGCAGTATCGGCCACATCCATGGCAGATTGTAATGCAGTGCAGGAGATGGTGTCTCCCTCCTGCATAATGTTGAGGAGTATCGGCCTCTTCTGCTCTGGCAGGAATTGGGAGACGTTCTTGGAGTTTGGAATAGTTTGAGTAGTTGTAATCGGCTAGTATGGCGGTATAATTTGCTGCCCTTAGAATTAAAGTTGCAGAGGAGTAGACTCTCCTTCCCATAATGCCTAGTAGCTTATGGTCCTTGTCTTGACCTCATGTTTAGCTGCTTCGTTTTGTGTCTGACCGAGTCCACCACTAAAGAATTAGGCGGAGGGTGTGTAAAAAGTCCATACCCTTGGGGGTGACGAAATGTATGTGTCAAGTATCAGAGGGGTAGCCGTGTTAGTCTGGATCTGCAAAAGCGACAAGGAGTCCTATAGCACCTTATAGAATAACAGATGTATTGGAGCATAAGCTTTCGTGGGCAAAGACCCACTTTGTCAGATGCATGGATGTGGTCAGCCCTCTTATTGGTGGGAGTAATGGACGCTGGGGTTTGCCAGATATTATCGTCTATGATGGCCTCATCCATAGGAGGGGCAATTCAAGAGGATGTGGGAGGTCATAATGTGCGCAAGAGTCTGTATGGTTTTTCTTGCACCTCTTGCAGATCCCGTTCTTGTGCTAGGGCCACCCTCTTAAAGAGTTCCTGAAATTGTTTGAAGTCATCAGACGGTGGTGGGGTGGCAGAGATGAGATGGCCTCATCCGGCGAGGAGGAGGAGTTGTGTAGAGGGGACCTATCCTCCCCTTCTGATAGGGAGTCCTCCGGCTCTGATAATGCACCAAACTCTCCAGAATGTGTCATGCCTGATATATTGTACGCTGAGGGGACTGTGGTGGTCTTTTGGATGGAATTGAAGGAGCAGTGTGGTGGCTTCTGCGAAGAGACCAGGACTCCCAGGGATTCCACTGGCCAGGATAAGGCAGTGGTGGCTAAGGCCAGTGGTGTGAATACCATGGAGGTTGTGGAGGAGCCAAGGAGGATGCTGCTAGGTGGGACTAGAATGCTGAGATAAAAAGCGGCTGTGTGGTTTGGTGCCGGCTTCGCTCGGTGAGATGGATGGAGCTGGCAACCTCAGAGAATGGACAAAACCCACTGAGGAACATCCAGACAGAGGTGCCGACAAGGCACGAACTAACGAAAGCGTACGGTGCCGTGCACATTCCGGTGGTGGTGCCAAGGCTGAGTGCACTGTACTTGGTGCCATTGGCACTATCGGAGAGGATGCCTTAGGGGGAGGCATGTCGGTGTGGGGTTTCTTGGGTGCTGCATGCAGTGCCATCTCCGGCATGGGCTTGTGAATGGAGGGCGCCGTGGGCTCCACCGGTGCAACCAGTGCAGTCGTTGCCAACGGTTTTTGTCCGGGCTCGGAATGAGCCCTCTTCCACAGCACCGATGGTTTAGGCGGTGCCGTGCCAGAGGTACCGGGTCTGTCGCCTACGCTCGCTCTAGATGAGCTCGGTGCCGGAAGTAGCGATCTTGCTGGGGAAACCCGAGTTTTCGCTTTAGGTTTGTCAAACAAGGTAGAGGGATGATTTTTTGTCCATACCTTTTGACTTGTCTGACACCTGAGCCCTGGGAGGCAAGTCGTCCCACAGTGGCTGAAGAGATTTTTCGTATAGATAGGTCTTCAGCTTGTTGGCGCAGTTGCGTCATGCTCTGGCAGTGAGATTTGAGCAGCGCGCACACTTCTGCGTCAGATGGGCCTCTCCAAGACACTTTATACATGAGGCATGTCCGTCAGAGACAGGTCGGGGTGTTGAACTATGAAGAACTGGGGTTTTTTTGGTTTTTTTTATGGTAGCGGGTACATAGGCGTTAATTCTCCTCAGTTTTCTTCTCCTTTCCAAGTTTTTAAGTCATTTTGTTTTCTTTTAGGCAAAAAGGAGAGTCCACAGAGCTCCCTCTCCCGCTGAGGATGGTAGAGAAGGAAGTGAGGGGGCCGCATGCCTAACGGACACCAACAACATGAGGAGGTTCTATGGTGCGTTCGCGGCACAGCAGGGCACTGCAAAAAAAAAAAATCTCTGTTCGCCGGCGCAAGGACGCGCCAGCACCCAGAGTGGAGCACTCATGGGGACATCACTCAAAGAAATAAGTATTTCCACTATGGAAAAAAAAAGTTAGCACAGTACGTTTTCATGACTGGGGAATGGATTTTCTGAAGACATCTTCAAAAGGGGAAAAAGCTTAGAAAAAATAACCTGAACGTTGGAATTCAGGTCTTTATAAAGTCCCTTGTAATAATTAAGGAAAAAAATACGCAAGGCCCAAGATGATTTTATTGCTTTCCTTCAGTTTTTTCCCTTGTCTCTTCTTTCTTCTCAGAGTTTTTGCTCTCTTCCTTTACAGAAAGCTCTTCTAATTTCTCAGCAACTTTGTCAGCACTATCATTTTTCTCTTTGCCTGCTAAGAAATTGTTTGAAGAAAAGTTACACACAGTAGATATTAACAATCGGAAAGCTCTGTTAACTTGTTTTACTAAACAAATAGCACAACTACTTTAGAAAGGATAAGGATCAAGTGTTTTTTGAACTCCTTGAATTTTGCTCCATACACTAAGATGATTCATTGTTTCTTTTCCCATGGTGATCCATCCCATGCCAAACGAATGTAGATTCGCTCCTTAAAATACCACCCTACAACCACACTAGGCCATAACTTGACGACTAAGAACAGGATCATAGCCCTTTCAGTGTCCTCACAAGTAGTTCTTTGATTGCTACAGGGTAACTACTGACAAGGCATATCTTGTATGACTGGATGTGCTGGTTCCATACAGCTTCCATCTCCTTAGATAATATCCTTATCCTAATATCAAGTTACTTGAAATTCAGGTCTCTAACCTTCTCTATCCCTACATTCCAACCTCTTTGCTCAAGGGAGAGAACTAAGGCCACAATTCACAAGGGAATTCTGTTCCCTACATTGCCTAAAACACTCAGATTTTCTGAAGCATTTGAACTGCAGGCCAGTAGGAGTCTATACTTTTCTACTTTAATAGATACATTTGGAATGGAATTCTAACCTTTCTAATTTCTATATGAAATTGAAGGTAGTTGTTGAGAGAGCTTTCCTCCAATTATGTGCATTGCAGGTCATGGAGAAGCATTACATTGGTATAATAACTTACTTTCAAACTGTAATCCTGCAACTGGGGTATTTACTTGTGGGACACAAGATAAAACAATATGGTAAAACTGTTACTCCGTATAAATGATGAAAAGCCTTTCTATTACAGCTGCCCTAAAAATTATGTTCCAGGATCGACTACAAGTCTTCTACAAGGAAAGAAGACTTCTCAACATCCTAGACTATTACTCTAGCACAGTGGTTCCCAACTGCCAGTCCTCAGACATTGACCAAGTTCAACGTCAGCCCCTCTATGCGGGCTCAGGCGTGCAGCAGGTGGCCCGGAACGACCTCAGCAACCCCCAACACCTTGGGCCGTAGGGCAGGGGAAAACAAGGTGACCACCCCAGCTGCATGGGTGCTAAGGTGGCTAAAGTACACCCCGTCCCCCCACTCCAGAAGCCAGCCAGTCTCGATGGCTAGAGTCGTGTGGGGCTCCTGCAGGAAGACCACCGATTACCTCCCTTCCCGAAGGAAGGAGAGCACCTAGCTCCTGCAGAGACCCACCCCACAGCCCCGGGCTTTTAATGTCGCAATGACAGTATGTTTCATGATGAGGGCTGGGGTGAATCCTCATGGGCAGGGTGATGTCAACCTCCCACAGGTCCCACAGCAGACTGCTCCCTGACCCGAAGGCCAGGAGAGCATCGTGGAACTTGTGAGCCTGGCGGTAGGCCGCGATGTCCTGCCTCCTGGTCCCTCTCCCCTCCTGCAAAAGGGCCCTTGTGGCCCTGAGGATGTGGTTAAAGTCTCCCCCCACCCCCCAGTGCCAAAGGGCAAACTGCACCTTGTCCTTGGCCCTACGGGTATCCCTGAGGAACTGGCGCAGTTTGGCCTTCAGCGCTGAGGGGATCAGGGCAACAGGGTTTTCCTCCATCTGAGCCCCCGGATGGGCCTCGCGGGCCACGGAGATGGGCAAACGGGGACAAAAAGGTGAAGTACTGATCTAAATTCCAAGATAATATTAACATCTTACCCTTCTTTGCTCTCTTGTCTACCTCATTCCTGCATTCTTCAAATTTTGCCTTGAATTTCTGTGCATCTGTTTGAAGAAAATAAAATGTTTCTTCGTTATCTTAAATTACTTACAATGCCTTTTTTTTTAAGCTCTATTTGTTCTGAAACAGACGTTTATCCTGAAAAACTTATATTGGCATTTTAGTTTGACTGCCTTGTGTCTAGAAATATGCACTTAGTGGATTTTATCTTAAATATACAGGCTTCAATTATTTCTCATTATTTAAATACCCCCCTCCAAACAAACCACCAATGGATGTTACACCTTGGGGTAGGTTTTCTGCAAAGTTCTCCTCTTAAGCTTCTGCTACGAAGCACTATTTTATGCTAGCGAAACGTCTATCCATACTGTGGCAAGGGCCCCTCTTACCCAGGCCACTGCTTGGGCCAGCCTCTCACCCCCTTCCCTAGGGGTTGGGGCTTGCAGCTGGTTTCTGGGGTAGGGAGCCCAGCCACTCCTCCTGGGACTCCCTCCCCTGCTGTTTCTTCTCTAAAGCTGTTATGGCTCACTCTCCAACTCTTGCTCCTTTGCTCTGTCTCTCCTTTACCTCTTCTCCCACTCTCTCCTTCACCTTCCAACTGGGGAGGCTTTTAAAGGCCTCCAGCAAGCCAGAAGTGGAGTCAGTTGGCCGCACTCTGCCTGGACCAGCTTCCTACCAGCTGCTTCTAATTGTCCTGCTGCCCTCTGCTTCTATTTAGCAGGTCTTTTGCCCTTTTTTGGCTGCCTTTCTCTCATTCTGCAACAGCCCTCTGGCCTGCCCCTGCCACAATCCCTTAGCTACTAGTCATTCACAAACATGCTACGCATACATTTACAGTCTCAAAAATGAATTAATGACTCTAGTCTGTCCAACCTAACAACCAGAACTTTCAAGAAGCAAGAGCTAGGCTTTTAATTTCTGTCAGGAACAGTATTCCTGATGATGCCACAGCACAACTGGTGGCTGAACTCTGTGAATTTATCCTCACACACAACTATTTCAGATTTGGTGACAACATATACCTCCAGACCAGTGGCACTGCTATGGGCACCCGCATGGCCCCACAATACGCCAACATTTTTATGGCTGACCTGGAACAACGCTTCCTCAGCTCTCGTCCACTTACACCCCTTCTCTACCTACGCTACATCGATGACATCTTCATCATCTGGACCCATGGGAAGGAGACTCTGGAAGAATTTCACCATGATTTCAACAGCTTCCACCCCACCATCAACCTCAGCATGGACCAATCTACACGGGAGGTCCATTTCCTGGACACCACGATACAAATAAGTGACGGTCATATCAATACCACCCTATACAGAAAACCTACCGACCGCTATACTTACCTGCATGCCTCCAGTTTCCATCCCGGACACACCACACGATCCATTGTTTACAGCCAAGCACTGAGGTACAACCGCATATGCTCCAACCCCTCAGACAGAGACCTACACCTACAAGACCTTCAACAAGCATTCTGTAAACTGCGATACCCACACGAGGAAGTGAGGAGACAGATTGACAGAGCCAGACGTGTACCCAGAAGCCTCCTGCTACGGGACAAGCCCAAGAAAGAAACCAACAGAACACCACTGGCCATCACCTACAGTCCCCAGCTAAAACCTCTCCAACGCATCATTAGTGATCTTCAGCCCATCCTGGACAATGACCCCTCGCTCTCACAGGCCTTGGGAGGTAGGCCGGTCCTTGCCCACAGACAACCCGCCAACCTGAAGCATATTCTCACCAGCAACTACACACCGCACCATAATAACTCGAACTCAGGAACCAATCCTTGCAACAAACCTCGGTGCCAACTCTGCCCACATATATACACCAGCAACACCATCACAGGACCTAACCAGACCAGCCATACTGTCACTGGTACATTCTCCTGCACATCCACCAACGTAATATATGCCATCATGTGCCAACAATGCCCCACTGCTATATACATCGGCCAAACAGGACAGTCCCTACGTAAAAGAATCAATGGACACAAATCTGATATTAGGAATGGCAACATACAAAAACCTGTAGGGGAACACTTCAATCTTCCTGGACACACAATTGCAGATCTAAAAGTAGCCATCCTGCAGCAAAAAAACTTCAGGACCAGACTTCAAAGAGAAACTGCTGAGCTACAGTTCATCTTTAAGTTTGACACAATCAACTCTGGATTAAACAAAGACTGTGAATGGCTTGCTAACTACAAAAGCAGCTTCTATTCTCTTGGAATTCACACCTCCAGATCAGCTGCTAGAAGTGGGCCTCATCCTCCTTGATTGGATCCACCTGGTCATCTCCAGCCTGATCCTGGCCTGCATATTTATTCCTGCCTCTGGAAATTTCCACTACATGCATCTGACGAAGTGGGTCTTTGCCCACGAAAGCTTATGCTCCTACACTTCAGTTAGTCTATAAGGTGCCACAGGACTCCTCATCGCTTCTGCAGATTCAGACTAACACGGCTACCCCTCTGATACTTGACACCATGCAAGGCACTGCATTTAGCCGTATGGAGTGGAAATCTATCAACCTCATGAAGAAACTTGCACAAGTACAAACTGATATCATCTTTCTCTCCAAATGCAAACGGATGGACATTATACCAAATGGACTGAAGGTGAAAAATCCATTGCTATCTACATACTGCACAGACTACAGTGAGAGATTATGCCATATACTATCCAAAAAACTGAGGAACCACCTGATCAGCATCCTGTACAGCAAACAGGAAAACATCAAAAAAGAGCTCTCCAATCTGGAGTCTCTCATAAAACACCAACCTTCTGCACAAATGGACTTTACTAAAACAAGACAGGAGATCTACATTACACACTTCACTTCTCTACAGAGGAAAAAGGACTGTAAGCTGTCAAAAACCCCCCCTGCCACATGGGGCCACAACAATGGTACCCCTAACTCACCCAGCAATATCCTCAAGCTCTCCAACTACACACTCAGCCTGGCAGAAGAATCTATTCTATCTCGGGGACTCTCTTTTTGCCCCGCCACCCCCACTAACATGATACAGTTCTGCGGTGATCTGGAAGCCTACTTTCGCCGTCTCCGTCTCAAGGAATACTTCCAACACGACACTGAACAGTGCACTGACACACAGATACCTTCCCACCAACAGCACAAGAAGAAGAACTCCACATGGACTCCTCCTGAGGGCCGAAATGGCAGTCTGGACCTCTACATAGAATGCTTCCGCCGACGTGCACAGGCAGAAATTGTGGAAAAACAGCATCGCTTGCCTGGTAACCTCAGTCGTGCAGAACGCAATGCCATCCACAGCCTCCGGAACAACTCTGACATTATAATCAAAGAGGCTGACAAAGGAGGTGCTGTTGTCATCATGAACAGGCCTGACTACCTAAAGGAGGCTGCCAGACAACTCTCCAATACCAAATTGGGGTACCCTGGGGCTGGGTTCAAGTGTTCGCCCCCAGTTTTAGGGATAAAAATCACTTGATGGTGGCAGCAACCCCCCAAAATCTGTGTATTGAGATTCTGGGAGAAGTTTTTGTAGCCAGTGCCTGTAGGGGCAAGGTATATTTAAAGTATTTTTGAGCCCCCACCTCCTGCACTCAGAGTGGAGAACAGCCCTGACAGACTTGTGCATCAATATTGATGTCATGTGCACTTGTTTGGATGTGTGGCACCCACCAGTTACTAACAAAATTACACACACACACACACACACACACACACACACACACACACACACACACACACACACACACACACACACACACACCAAGATTATGTAATAATTAGCAAGGTATTTGGAGATAAGGAACTAGGAAGGAAGATCAGCATAGATGGGATCGAACTAGAACTTAGAAGTTCACGTATTTGGGGAGCAACATGACGTATGATCTAGACTGTAAGAAGGAAATAGCGACTAGCATAGCGAAAGCAAGAGTGAGTTTGAAGGCGATGGATAAGATCTGGAAAAGTAAAGCGATTAGCTTAGGAATGAAGCTGAACGTCTTGAAAACGTGTGTATTTAGCAGCATGTTGTACGGATGTGAGACATAGGTGATAACGAAAGATTTGAAGAGAAGAATATTGGCAATCAAGAGGAGTTGTTATAGAAAGATCCTGAGAACAGGATGGATGCAGAAGGTCACCAACGAGGAATTATATAGGAAGATACAGCCAAAAGAGAACCTACTGCAGAAGGTGATACAACGGAAGTTACAGCTATTCAGGCATATCTGCAGAATGAATGACAAGCGAAAAGTTAAGACCCTTGTATTTGGCATAATGGATGGTCCAAATAGGAGAGGCAGACCCCACAGAGAATGGGTAGATGATATAGTAGATTGGTGCAGATCTAGTCTACAGAAACTAAGCCACTCCACACTGGACAGGGGACGATGGAAGGAAATAGTGAGGGAGGCATCGGACACCAATGGGCGTTGAGCCCATAGTTGTTGATGATGATGACCCTGCACCCACCCACCCTGAAAACCACCCAGCAAGCCGGCCCCTACACCCAAATAGTGAGGGAGGCATCGGACACCAATGGGCGTTGAGCCCATAGTTGTTGATGATGATGACCCTGCACCCACCCACCCTGAAAACCACCCAGCATGCTGGCCCCTGCCCCCAACACACACTGTGCATGTCCCACTGCCTATGCCCCTATCAGGACCACAAGCAGCCAGCTGGTGGTAACTGCCTACCCCCACCCACACCCTCTAGTTGTGCCCAGCCTTGCAATCTGCCCGCCCATATGCCACCAGTCTCTATGCCAGAGCCATGCTATTTGCCCCCCAAACACAAACAGCCAGTAGCTGGGCCTAGGGCCTACAACCAAAGCACTGCTGCCCAGAGACCTGTGTCCAACCCTGTACCTTGCCCTCCCCCACCCCAGAATTTACCTGCACCTGGTACCTTCCACCACCATAGATGGCTGGTGCCTTTTCCCCCCACCGGCTGGCTTCTGGGCTGGCTCCCCACTGTCCTTGGCCCCTCTGCTGCCGGCCTCCTGCTGCCCGCCACACAGCTCTGCATAGGAGGTGGGCGGGGTGGAAATTTTTTCTGCACACAGCTTAGAGGAAACCTTGGTTGGTGGACCTTGGCCAAGCAGGCAGGAGTCCGAAATAGAGAGAAAATATATAGAAAAGGACAGACAACATGGAAAGGAACAGTGGAGTGAACTGAAAAGAAAAAGGGGAGACATTGAGAGCGCACACAGCTTCCTATATTCCCCCATACTCTTTTGCAAAAAGGCCACACACACCTGTCATGACTTCTGGGCATAAAAGAGACCCTCCCTAGGAATATTGTGAAGAAGTTTGTTCCCTGGGTAAACAAAGGAAAATGTGTCAAGTGTAAGCAATGCAAGACAAAGATGCCGGGCCTAGTTGCAAGAAGGAAGCATCATAAGGAAAACTGCTTATTGGGAGAAAGTGATGTAGATGTGGATATGGTTGAGTGGATCAACTGGTTAGTAATTCTAACAACTCACTTTGCAAGGCATCATTCTTCAAGACACCCTCTATACCTTTTGGTATAAAAGTGTGTTTTGATAAGTCAATTCCCAAGCTGTTTCCCATGTTGGACGTTAGGAAAAAAAAATCTGTTTAGCTCAGCTAATCATTATGGATTGTTTAATTAGTTAACTAGGTTTAGAACCTATAACCCAAGTATTCAGCACAGACAGCTGTAGTAAGAGAGTTGCCACTGAGTGTCGTTTTCTTACTTTCTATTACATAATTCATTCCCCTTATTTTGGAACATCATGGCCACAGACCATAATGGTGATGCCATAAATCTATTCCCTATTTTACTTCAGCATAACTCAGCTTTTCCAAGGGAACCCCATCCTATACTCATTTTCTCAAAAAACAGAAGCGACAGTGAGTTCAATGGAGCTTCCTCCAAAATTAAGTGCACTCTAAATGCAGTCAGTCAGTCTTAACTTTTTTGGTAGCGTGATTTAAAATCAATGGGTTTTTTTGGTTAGTTAAATCCATTATTTAAATTAATCCACCCTGATACAACCTGAAACCTACCTGTGATTCACAATAGGAACCCAGCAGTTAGGATACTGTGTGACTGTCAGACACTGTTTGCTGCATTAACTGCTTAAGGTCTCGTGAGAACAGTTGCATGAAGTCGTCTTTCACCCCCCCCTTAAAAGAGCTACTGCTAGAATAGACGGGAGGCGGAAGAGATGCATTAAGCTAGTTCTGCAGACACCCCACTGTCCTCCTTGCACGCCTGAAACACAACCATAAGGGGTTTTCCCAGCCCTAGTCTAGAGGGTATGGTGGCAAGGGAAGAAGTGTGGTAGCCATTTTGCTTTAAGGATGTTAAGAAGCAGGTAATTGGCTGATTGTGTAGTTGATACAAATTTTATCTACTACACGGTTAGTCGATAAAGGGAGGCGCTCTGGCCCAGCTCACGCTGGGTCCAGGAGCTACCCCCGCTGCAACTCTGTAGTTTAAAATGTAGGAGGAGCTGGGCATGCAGGCAGCCTGGGTCTTATTACATTTAAATTGCAGAGCTGCAGCACGGGTAGGTCCCAGATCTGGCGCGAGCTGGGACTGGGACTGCTGCACAGTGTGCTTTTTCCTGGATGCCTCCTCTTCCTCAAAAAACCCTCCTCCCCATCCACACGTGCCTTTTTGCGAAAGAGCTTTCTCGCAACAAGGCTTCTCTCATACAATGAGGATTACCAATACTGGAAAAACCCCTCTGTTTTCGATTTACTTGTGAAAGAACACGATTGCAGTGTGGACGTTCTGCAAGTTGTCGGAAAAACAGTCGTTTTTCCGACAAAACTGTAGTGTAGACGTACCCTCAAAATGACAGTCAGAGACAGGGATAGAAAGCCTGCAGGAGAGGCAGCATTTGAATCCTGGGGAACCGGGCATCCCAGGGACAGTAGGACTGTTAGACCAGGCCAATTTTTGGCCTAACAGAAAAGTTTTTTTTTTTTTCCCCCCCTTTTCAAGGAAGAAAAAGAAAACTTAAGTCTAACTAACTGTAAAACTAACTGGTAACCGGATACATGGCAGTGGCACTGTGTGTGCTGCCTGCCTCACCTGCACAGCCCACCGGAGGGCACTGCTACTGTAAATCTACAAATAGGCGCGCAGCAGTGCCTCAGACGTAAGGTCGAGCACCCACAGGGACACTCCTCAACGAACCACTGGCTTTTAAGATGACTCCCCCTAGCACCAGCTCCTGCTCCTCCCCCTTGCTGCCTCTGATACAGAGGCAGCAAGAAGGGGGGGGGGGGGGGGGGGGGAAGCCTAGGTGTTCCTACTCTCATTTTTTCCATATAGTCATTGCATGTTCTATTTAGGAGTGAATAGTCTGGCATTCCAAGTAGGGAATGCAAGGCCAAACCACAATAATTTGCCACAAATACCTTGAAGACAGGTGAGGAGAGTGGCTTTTTTTTTTTTTTTTCTAGGTGTTCCTACTCTCATTTTTTCCATATAGTCATTGCATGTTCTATTTAGGAGTGAATAGTCTGGCATTCCAAGTAGGGAATGCAAGGCCAAACCACAATAATTTGCCACAAATACCTTGAAGACAGGTGAGGAGAGTGGCTTTTTTTTTTTTTTTTTACAGTCCCTAATCACTTGTAGCCAGACAGCCCCCCCATCTCAAACAATCTTGCTTGCCCTCTGAGAGGTCTGTATACAGAGCAGAGAAGGAACAATAAGAAAAATCAGCATAGCCATTAAGCTTTGATCTGCTTTGATGCGAGACCAGGATATGCAAGTTTTGCTGACTGAGCTCTTTAAAGATTAAGCTGTCATTTGGTACCATTATTTTTTATTTCCTATCTTTATCTTCTTTGTAACCATTTCTCTCTCTCTCTCTCTCTCTATATATATATATATATATTTGTCAGCAGTTAAGAAATAGAACAATAGCCATTGCAACCATATGATTTATAAGCTTCCTCGATAAACCTGTAACTGTTTAAGTTTTAACCTGACTCCTTCAGTTGCTGTAACAGAACCAGGCACAATTTAAAAAGAACTTCAGCCGGTCATTAGGGACAGTATAGGAAGAGCTTGGGCGTTTGGATTTGTGTCACACCTAGGTGGCAAAATCCTTTGGGGCACTTCTCAGCCTCCCCGAGGCTGCCCGCTGCGAAGGAATCACATATTCTAGCAGCTAAAATCTGAAGTGTAATAAGCTCTCCCTGTACACTTATTGGGCACCCATCAACCTCATCCAGGTTGCCTGCTGCAAGGGACCCCGGTCTCAGCAGTTAAAGTCTCGGGGGTATAGTACACACACAGTATAGGAAGCTTTATTTTCCTTGGATTTGTGTCACACCCAGGTGGCAGATCTGTTGGGGCACTTCTCAGCCTTCCCAGGCTGCCCGCTGCAAAGGAATCACAGATTCTAGCAGCTAAAATCTGAAGTGTAATAAGCTTTCCCTGTACACTTATTGGGTAACCGTCAGCCTCCTCCAGGTTGCCTGCTGCAAGGGACCCCGGTCTCAACAGTTGAAGTCTCGGGTGTATAGCACATACACACTGCCCTGACCGTTGGCTGACAGGGGAGTACTGCTGAGAGGGATCTTTGGGTCATAGTGGACCACAAGCTAAATGTGAGTCAACAGTGTGATGCTGTTGCAATACAAATAATTTCACCTCCAAATCTCTAAACCATGGCATCTATTCTCATAAGTTAGCTGGAGGAGATATGGCACAGTCAAGTTAGCCTCTCAAATCTCTTAGCTAAATATCAAGCTATCAAAATAAACTCAACAATAGCGGGGGATTTCAACTCTCCCCATATTGACTGGGTACACGTCACCTCAGGACTAAATCAAGAATTGCCTCTCTTGTGGGTTCCAGAACCAGCTGCTCCAAGAAGCAGTCATTTAAGGTGTCAAGAAACTTTCTCTGCATCCTGTCCTAAGTGGAGCACAGGATCTGGTTCAAGAGGTAAATATAACTGGACCGCTTGGAAATAGTAACCATAATGAAATAAAATTTAACATCCCTGTGGTGAGAAAAACACTCAGCAGCCCAACACTGTAGCATTTAATTTCAGAAAGGCGGAACCACACAAAAATGAGGAAGATAGTTAAACAGAAATTAAAAGGTACAGTGACAAAAGTAAAAATCTCTGCAAGCTGCATGGAAACTTTTCAAAGACCTCCATAAGAGGTCCAACTTAAATGTATACCTGTAGCGGTGTACCCCTAACGCCACTGCGCCACCTGCCGTCGGTTCTGGGGATTAGGTCTGCCAGCAGGTGGCGGGATCCTTTTCAGGACACTGCCCTCCGGCAGTGCCCACAACAGTCTGAGCTCCTCCCCCTTCCGGGGGTCGGTGGAGGCCTTCAGGAGGCGGTTCCTCTGCCTCCGGTACAGTGGGCGATACGCCTGTCCCACTGCGCTACCGTGCCTTAAAATAGTCCAGGCCAGCGAGTCTATTCCCGGCCTTGCTTCAGGACAGGATAAGAGGCAATAGTTCGCGTGCCCGGCCTTGCTTCAGGTCCGGGCCACCGGGGAATAAGTTCACCAAATGCAAGCCTATTATCTCACAGTTTTGGGCAGGGCAACCGTTCTA